TCCCTATCAGTTCTTTAGCTTAAACTTTGCTGGGGTGTCTGGAGCTGGCTGAGTGCTCATGTGATTCCTCTCAGAAGATCTGCCAGCCTCTTGGTAAATTACTCTTGTGTGCAAGCAATGACATTACCACCATTTGTCATCTTCCAGACTTTGTCCTAATTCCCATGTTTGTGCTGATAAAGGTGTAGCTTCTATTTGGAGAGCGTGTGTTAAAAAGCAGTTGAGTAGCTAGCAGTGACTCACTGTTGAACAGCAGAGCTGTGCGTAAGAAACAAGTCACTCGTGTCTGAAAAATATATGGAGAAAAGCAGAGCCAGGGGAATGATGAGTGTGAAGTAGCCTTCCCCAGACTCATAGTCCTCCTGACACCAGGTGTCCAATGTTTTCACAAGCCCAGAAAGCGTTCGGTGCTCTGGATGAGGTAGAGCTGATGGTGTAGGAGCTTTCCTTAGTGCTACTTTTTCTTTTCTTTCTATCTGATATCATTGAAGTCAGTATACATAGTGTCTTTAGACTTTCTATTGTTTTGGGGTTTTTTTAATTACAGCAAAACTTGGCAAGAATTTTGCCTGGGATGAGACATTAGCCTATCCAGTACCTGCCTTATATCTGAATGAAAATATTGTTGCATGGATTAAATACTGACATTATCACAATTCACTTTAACTTCATACTGGAAGGGCCTTGCTGTTTCTAGTAATGCAGTGGGCTGGAGGGTCTTGGGGAGTGGAGATGATGGGCAAGGGGAGATTTGGAGGGAGATCCCTCAAAAATTCCAGTAGAGTGGATGGAGATGCTGTTTCAGCTTTCTCTCTTCAAATTAAGCTGGTTTTGTGCTTAAAACTCATCCTTGAAATTGTACCTTTCAGTTGCTCTGTAGCTGTACAGTTGGGCAAATTCACTGGATCAGAAAAGAAACCATTTCCTTCACTATGTGGTAATGGTTTATCTTTGAAAGAAACACCTGAGGGAGACTCAAATTATTCTGTCACAAGGAGTAAGTAACCTGTAATGGATATCTTAAAAAAAATGTTTTACTTTGTGTAGGATTATTACCTTATTCTACTTACTACTATTTTTGAAATATCAAGCACTACATTTGTGCGAAGGCTTTGTCCCCTGGGATTATCAGCTTTGCCGAATATTCTTCCTAGAGCAATTCATGTTACATTAAACAAAAAGAAGGTTAAAACCACTGGCTAGATCACTTGCAAGTTTCATTCTTTGAGTCACCTTGATATTTGCCAACTCATTTCTGCAATTTTTTTCTCTCTCCATTTTTTTTCTTTTTAAGTTAAAAATTTTTTAATTTTTTCTCATCTGTATTATACACTTTAGACCTAGAATCAAGAAGCATGGAGAAAATATAGCATGTCCTTTTGGACAAAACCTTTCCTATTCCTTACCTTAAAGGGAGGAGACTCAGGCAGCCAGCTAGAAAAGACAAAATGAAACAGAAGCCGCTGTACCAGTTCAGTGTATTTTGATAGATCTTGTTGTAGACTGTAGATGTCACTACTCCCGTGGTGACTAAAGACAACTGCAGCAGGACAAACACCTTACCTGTAAAGCAAGAACATAGTTCAGGGAGAAAAAAACCCAGCTCTAGTAACTCCCTGCCGAATCCAGGATCACCACTGCATGGAAGAGTGATGTGGTCGTTGCTTTGGAAGCGCCAGATGGCATGAGCTTGCGCCTACTGCTGTTCTGGGCCAGAATTAAATGACTTTTCCTTCTTTTAGGCATGGGACAAAAGATCCAACTAGAAAACTGTCTCCTTAAACAGTCTACATGTATGGGTAGATACTTCAAGGAGCAGCAATAAATAGGGCAAAAAGTGCTCCTTTCCATAGGCGGTAGAAAAGTAGTCTTGGGCTAACATCTTCAGAACGGCAGAGATTTTAGTCAGGGTCTGCTTCTACCCTAAGCCAGAAGGGTAGTTCTTGGGTTAAAATTATAATAATGCCTAAAATGGGGTGCTGCTTGTGATTTGTATGATGTTTACATACATCAGGAGGAGAGGCAGAGACTGCATCCTAGTTGAAACAGATTTTTTTCTGGAGTGCACTCTTCTGTTTCTGCTGTGGTTAAGAGGGGGAGCAGAAGTAAACTAGCCCTGCTGGGATGTGCAGACTGGGAGCAAGGTCAGGGCCGTGCGCTGAGCTTGCTGCCCTACAGCCTTCTCCAGCTGCACAGAGCCAGCGGCCACCACCAAAGGAGACAACACTGCTACCAGCAGGCACGGGCTGCTCTGCTGCACTGTCCTGCTCGAGAGCTGGTCTGCTGCTGTAATCAGGTGCAGCCTGCATGGCTCATGGTGGAGGTTAAAAACAACATTATGTTTAATAAAAATGCTTTATTTGGGGTGTAAGCTGCGCTATTTGTGGCAGGCAGGTGAGTTTGTTACGCAGCACATTGAGGAGCACAAGCTGTCGGAATGGATTGGTGACCGTGAGGTGTCGTGTTCATATCGCAGAAGGGAAGAGGATGCAAATGGTGGCTGTGGGAACATATTTGGAGAAGGCAGGAGCAGACGTGGGCTTGAGGCGCTATGGGAATGTATGACCAGTCCTGTTGTGACTAAATCCAGCTCATTGGGGTAAAAATGGTAGTCTTCAATACGGTGTCATAAATACATACATTTTACTATTTTCTAATGCAAATTTTAATAGAAAATAATTTCTGCTGCTGTTTACCGAAAGAGGCTGTTCTTATGCAAAGGTTATCCTTTGTTAGTTAAATTGTGGTCTGACAGGAACAAATTGCCAGGGAACAGTTGGAGACATATTTAGAGCCTATAACTGAAAAAAGATGAAAGATCCATCCTTCCCAATGCTGGGAAAAGAAGCCAAATATAAATGGTGTGAGTATGACAACGCTTCAACACAATGTCTTGCTTCTCTTGGTTTTCCCTGGAGCACTGTGTTTATGAGCAGCACCTCAGATATTTTCCCTGCCTTTGAGCTGCACACTGATAGCAATCTCTTGAAGCATGTGCTGAAAATGTTGTGGATAAATAATGACACAACTGAGGATGAGAAATTTGGATGTGACAATCCTGTCCTGCAAGTTTCTCTGCTCCTCCCTTCCCGTTTGTGGTAGCAAGTGTTCTGGTTTTATTACTCAAAGCACAGATTGCAGCAATAACTTACCTTTGTCTTTGTACCTTAGGCTGAATGGAGGGATTTGAGGGTTTTTTGATCAGTAAGGTAACCAAAGTACTTACCATAGGATGATCCTTCAACATGCTTGGATAACATGGACCTGATGGTTGGTAAGGGGATGAGGGCAAAAAGCATCACTGCCCGTGCTGCAATGCAATGAATATGTAGTTATCACCAGTACCTGCTCCTTTGTCTCCCAACACAATTGCTGCTTTTGAAGACTACATGCCTCTGGCTTGGGCCGGGCTTTTGCTTCACCTTTTCTTGTCCCCTGAGTACCAGAAAGTAGTACAAACCTTTGGTAGGTGTGTAGGTCCTCACTTGATCCAAGTGATGGTGAATAAGCCACCTATTGCTCCCACTAGCAGAGGTAATTCCCCAAACCAGCCACGGTCTCTTGGTCTCAGCCTGACATCCCGGTGTACACGGAATATAGCACTGTCCTTTGAGATAGTGAGGCTGATGATTTGAGTCTAACCAGCAGAGAGAGCATCCCATGCTACAGGGCCTTGACAGGAACAGTACCTTTATAAGGCTATAGCTGTTTTCTATCTCAGTGCTTTTGGCTTGCAGTATTTTAGGCATTCTCTAGTGTGGAAACTTAGGGAGCTGGAATTACCTTCCTGTCAGCGGAACCAACCTCAGTGAAGACCTGGTCCACATTGAGTGTACTGAAATGTTTCTACAATGCAGGGAATAAGCATCCTGCACACTGTGTAGCAGCATGTGTTCATGATGGACTTAATACTAAACAAGCATATTTTAATTTTTTTACCTTTTGTTCTCCAGCCTGATTGCCTAAACAAACAAAATCTCTTAAGAATTTCACTCAATGTTTGGCTTAGTACACAAATATAATACCCATCTGTTTTTCCCTTTAGAATAACTTCGTTTGATTTTTCAATTTCTCATTCCCTGGAGGGGGACAGACACAAAAATCACTTCAGATCATTTCTCTTAGATCTTTTTCTCATTTGCAGAAGAAAAACCTCACAGCTATGCAGCACACGATACTCTGTTCATCAGATATTAATCATCCATCTCACTGCCACAATGGATGCAGTTCTTGGGTTTTGTTTTCTGTGTTGCTGCAGAGGCTACCCCCCAACAATAAACTTGCCTTTCCTTCACTGTGGGATGCTGCCCCATCGTATTGTTACCTGTCCCCTGGTCGTTTATACATAGTGTAACATTTGTACACCACATTCTCACGATATTTTAGTTGCTAAAGCAGCTCCAATGTTTCACTATTAAGTTTCCCATCAACCATAAATGCCTTAATGTAACAAAAATAAATCACATCTTAAGATGTTCCATTAACAAGAAATCTTTGCCAATTTGTTTCTGTTGTAGCCTTAAACCTTACCTCACGAGAAGCAAGTGCTTCCCATTCATGCAGCGGTGTGATACGACTAGTACAGGTAGCCAGCAACAATTCCCACTCCCCTGTGGCATGAGCGTTGTTCCCCTGCTCAGATCTGAGCTATGACTGAGTGACAAATTACAAGTCAACCAGCCTTAAACTAAGCCTTGGCGGGAGTGCATGCATCCCCTCGATAGTGTAGGGTGCTGAGTGTAAGGGGTACAAGTGAGATGTGGGAAGAGGGGAATGATAATTAAGCTCTCCTGGGAATTGCTTGTGTGACAGTCTGCCAAGCTCTCTGCTCTGCAACTCGCAGTGAAGCACAGCAAAAGCCCTTCTCCTGACACCAAAACACCCCAGCCCCTTTCTCAGGGTCCACTCACTTGTGCGAGTGGCCGTTCAACTCACCAATGTAGAACAGGAACGTCCACCGCACGAAGGCCATGATGAGGATGCCAGCGCTGAAGGATATCACTCCGATCAAGATCATGGTAATGTCCCTCAGGTATTTGGAGAACACAAATACCCCTAGGAAGCTGGTGATGAAGATCACATACCCTGCAGCATTGCCATGGCCGATCTGCACAGCGTTCCAACTTAAAGGCTCCCTGAGCAAAAAGAGCGGGAGTATGTTCATTGCACCCACCACAGCAAGGTCATAGAGGACTGCTGCCACAAACAGCATGATGATGATGAGTTTCGAGGGGGATACTGGAGTGGAGCTACTACTCTTTGAAAGTTGAGAACTCCCTGCTGCTGCTGCTGCTTCTTTGTGGGCTGGTAGCTGGCTGCCCACCTCCTCTGTACTCTTGCCTTTGGCTGGGCAGGAAGCTGCTGGCTTGGGGACTGTCAGGACAAAAGTGCTGTAGAGGAGGCAGAAAGCATAGCAGGCGATGCTGCAGCCCACCAGCACAGTGCCCTCTCGATAGCGGTCACTGAAGCCAACAAAGAGGTAGCCAGATGCCATGCTTCCCAGAAAGCCAGAGAGGCCATACACCAGCTCAATAATGATAAGCCGCAGAGACCTCCTGCTCTCAGAGGATCTCAGGGATCCCAGAGCCATGACGCCGGCCCAGAGCGTGGTGAAACCGCCCGTCAGCCCATTGAAGGCAGCAGCCCCGTACATCACCTCGATTGGCCAGCCCAGCAGGATCAGCAGGAGCAGGAGAGTTTTGGAGCCCAAGTAGCCAAGAAGAGGGAAGCAGATGGGGATCTTCCGATGTATCCTGTCCCCCAGCTTGGACAAGCCATAGGCTGATACCAGTGGGCTCAGGCCCAGGACGAGGTTGTAGATGATATAAAAATCAGAGACAGCCTTCTGCTGAGCATCTTCCAGTGCATGGGAAGGAGCGGTGGCGTTGGTCTGGTTGTAGTAGTTCTTCACCACCAGCAGCAGTGCCGTGTCGTAGAAGGCACTGGCAACTTGAGAACCTGCGACCACTGGCTCAATCCATGTCCTCATCACCGTCACCCCCACCATGCTGTCGGCAACTGCCTCTTCTTGGGGAGAGCTGTTTTCGGGGAGATGTGCAGGAGGGAACAGCTTTTCAGAAGCTCTGCTCTGGAGGTATGCTTGGAGAGGAGCAGTCTTGAGAAAAAAAAGGTCTGCCGGGCTGCACAGAGCCAGAGAGTTGTGCAAGAGATGATCTGGCTGGGAGGATATTTGCACCTCGCCTTGCTACATACATGCACGCACGCACATCCCTGCGCTGCTCTGATCTCCAGCTCATGCACGAGAGGCTTTTGTACAGCCAAAGAACGCCCTGCACTCGCCGACTGTCGCTGCTCCTCTTCCTGGTGTAGTTTCTGCAGAGGTCAGATGACCCGGAGGAATTTCTCTTTCACAGTTTGGGAAGTGAAAATGCCCTGCTCAAGTAATTGCTGCAATTTGGGGTGGTGGTTTGTTTTTTGTTTGGTTTGTTGGTTTTTTTTTTTCCCTTTTGGCATCCTTCATGTCAGAGGACTCTCAGGGTGGCTGAGGGGGCAGCGGATGACTGTGTGCTTTTTTTGTCAGGTAATTTGTGAATTCCCCTTATTGCCAGCTCTTTTCCCTTTCTTCTACACAAATATGTTGTTAGCTCTTTTGCTCTTACATTCTCCCATCTGCCCTGTTGCTGCACCATGCCCCTTATGTCATTGTTGTTTCAGTAACGCAGTCAGGAAATGAATGTGGGAATTTCCAAGAGGAGAAAAGTCCCAGTTTATCCAAAGGCATCGGAGGCCGCGGCACCCCAGTCATCGGCCAGTTGAGCTGGAGGCTGGGGTGGGTGAGAGCCCCACTCTGTAGCTCCTCGGGGCAGTGGCTGTGCCCCTCCGCAAGCGCTGGTGCCACACGCAGCTTTGCAGCTTGAAGTCAGCCTCCAATTTTGCTGCTGCCCGAGGGGGGCAAGCGAAACGACCCGCCCCAAGCGGCTCTGGGTCCCCGCGGGCACGACAGTCTGGCTGGCCAGAAGCACAAGAAGCTCTTGGAGCAGGACGTGGCTCGAGTAGGCTGCCAGCTCCAAGGAAGATGCTTGCGGTCCCAGCTGCAGGAAATACTTGGAGGATATTTGGCAGCCTCAAAAATGCTAACTTAAACGATAACGATCTCATTCTGCACTGGTTTAATGAATCATAACAGACAGAATAACAATCTGTTCCAGGAAGATTTATGATGATTACTTTAAAAAATAAATTAATGATTAATTTGCAAGAACAATGTTAAAACCTCCATCTGCTGCACTCTCTAGTGATTCAGGTGACATTTACTCAATGTGTGCCTGTGTACTCATGGCTCAAGAGTTTCATTTTTTCACTGTTACTTCGGTTGTGCAATGATTTTTGTTTTATATTTCGATTAAAGGAAAAAAAGTCCCAAGAAGTAACAGGGGAAGGAGTGGGGAATTTTCTGCTAGAATGATTTGCTGCTAGACAATTTCCTTTTTACCAGAGAATTTGTTTTTTTGTCAAGCCAAAAGATTCCTAGCCAGCTGTACAATATAATGTGGGTTGTTCCAACAGCTGGCTTTTTTCTCCCCAAGATTTTCTGCAAAAGGTGTCTAGTTTCTTTGGTTTTCATTCAGAAGTGGGACAAGTCTTTCTCTTCAAACTCTGGAGCATTTCCAGAGGATGGAAATTCCAGACAGCCTTACTAAAAACCCCAAAGCATCAGCCTGTGACCAGCTTAAGCAACAAACTCAACCAGAGGAATTGCCATGTTTTGCTTCACCCAGGGAGCCCTGTTTCTTCCACCAGACATTAAAGGGAAAGAAAAATGACTGTCCCATTCCAGCTTCAATTTGGGACATTAGTTATCTGGGAGTGCAGAGGTATGTTACAGGCACTGCACTTGAGAGGCTGCAGATCTGCCCAACTCTTAAATAAGGGATATTTTTCCCCCACACTTTGTTGCATGTACAAACTGCCTGGCTTATTCATCTGACACTCTTGACATTTAGGTGATACTGTGTTATGGTATGCTTAATGCTGTTCAGGCCTAGATAACTAATGAACTGTCCTAAATGCCATTAGAGATCTCATGAATTACATATATATTTCCAGGATATTCTGAGTGTTCATTCACATTAAAAGTACTTTTTAGAACTAGTTTTTGTGGAAGGATATGATTTCACATCAGTAATTGCAAAACAGTGAGTGCTAAAGTAAGACTTTAACCCAGGCTCCAGGATATTTCCCACTGCAAAATACTTTTCATGAATAGCATATTCATCTGATGCCACAAAGACTTCAAAATTACTATTCTCTAGCATCAGCTTTTCCATGGGGCCCAGTTCTCATATTACTAATATTTATATGGACATTTGCATCTAATTTAAAATACGTTTGTGTGGCATAGACATAGTGGACCCTTAGAAGCCTTAAGAGAGAGGTCCTTGACATTTAAGAAAAATGCACCTAGAGAATCACTGAGACTACTCTAAAAGCAAAAATACACTGGTGTAGCCTGCGGGAAAAGGAACACATTGTTTTAGGGCATCCCTCTCTAGAGTCGTCCTGTCTGGAGGCTCATTAGAGGCCAGGTCAGGACCATGTTGCACCAGCTCTTAGACATTTGTCAGTCTGGCCAAATTAAGGTGTTTAATGTCTCCCTGTGGTGGTGTTATACATTCCTACGCAGCATTGCTTTTTCTTTTTGTAAACTAATTATGACAGTTACATCACTTTTTCTTTCTGAACAAGGTTGCTGTAGGGATTTCAATATGCTGGGGCAGCTGGACTTGGCAGGTACCAGCATTGTGGAGCTTGGTCTTCAACACTCCCCATCTGAAAAGGTCCTTTTGGTACCCAGGACTGAAATCCAGCATGGGTGCATATGTCTTCATTTCCCTCATCCAAGCCTGCTGATGGCATCTGTGATTTACAGTCTCTGGCTGGCAAGGCATTTCATCTGCGAGGTGATAAATCATCGGTGTAACTCCTCCATCTCCTTGGTACGTGTGGATTGTCCTGACACGTGCTGCAGCTTCGTCGTGGTGGCAGGGCAAGGAAACACTACTGGGGACTGGGAAGTACCTGGGTTTGAGCCCGGATGGAGCTGTAGTCATGTTACAGCACCGAAGAGAGGGAGAGCAGGTTGAAAACACTGGGAAGAAGCTGCTATTTTGGTGATGGCCTGTTTTCCTTCAGAAAGTACATCTTCGTCATAAATGACCACAGACTGTAATGCCAAGCCTTGCTTTTTCTCTCTGTGGTTTGGGAGGTTGGCTTCCTCACTGGCTGGTGTTTAATTATATATTTCCCCTGTCCTCACAAGGCGAGTGGTGTTGGGGAGATGAAGGGGAGTGGAGGCTGCACGGAAAGCCGGGTGCACGAGATGGGAGCAGCAACTCCTGGCAGCTGCTGCATCGCCACAGCTGTGTGGCATCCTGGTCCAGGGCAGTTGTCTTGTGGGATCCAGAGCTGCTGATGGTGGATGCTAATACTTGGATGTAAAAGGCCACCCCAGCAGCCTTCTTTCAGCAGCTCTGGAAAATGACATCCAGGTTGCTTGGAAACTCAAGGTGCCAGTGTCTGTAGTACAGCAGCTGGTAACTCTGCCATTGCGTAATAAAACACAGGACCATGCCCTTATGGGTGCATCTTGAGGTGTCTCAGACACTGAGACCCCTGGGCCAGCAGTCCAGCATTCAGGAGGCGCAGCACCACAAGACGTGCTCTCCTCCGGTGTTCATGGTAGCAAGAGGAAGCCCAGGCCACAGGCAGTGCGAGCACATAGAATATTTTGGGTTTGGAAGGGACCTTTAAAGGTCAT